CCCTCGTGTGGTAACGAGATGCAGTCGCAGGTGCGCAAGCGAGACCTCGCATGGCCCCTGCTTGGGGCAGAGGAAGGTCAGCCAATCTGGTTTAGGCATTTGTAAAAGCTCCTGGAGGCTTTGAGGAGGGTGAGTTGAAGAAACTAGACAGAAAAAGAAAGGTGTGGGGCACAGTGGTACGCACAGGAGGAAGGATCAAAAGTTCTAGGCTAGGTGGATGTGGTGATACACACCTTGAATCTCAGCACTTAGAAGGCAGAGTAGGCCAGGACTACATAGCCAGGGCTACATAAAGCGTCTCAATTAAAAGGAAAAAAAAAAAAATCTAGGTCTTGAGAGTTCAAGGCCAGCCTCGGCAACTTAAGACCCTGTCTTGAAACTTTTAAAAAGATGAGCTATCTAGCATAGAGGTAAAGTGCTTGTCTGTAAATACACAATGCAAGGTCCTGAGTTCAATCTCCAATAGTGGAGGGGGGGGGGACCGCGGACAGAGTAGCATGCATGGTCACCTTAGGCAGCTGGTTATGAAGCCCCACCCTGAGCTTAGAAGACATCCCAAGCTGTGTGAAGCTAACTTTGTGTTGCCTTGTCTGGACTCTGAACAGAGACTCTCTGGAGGCAAGGCTGGATTCTAATGAGCTGTGCCAGCTCACCCCACCATTTTTCTTCCTGTTTCTGGCTAGGATATATCAGTAGTGACCCTGACCCAGGCCCTGCATCCACTCTGTTCCTATGCCTCCATCCCCATCTGATTCTCCTAACTCACTGTAATTAGTTGGGGGCTGCTCACCCAGACCCTAGGTCCCAGGGCTGACTGACTGCCCTTCCACTGAGCAGGTGGCCAATGGCCAGCAGAGCACACTGCCTGCCACCTGGCTCTTCCCTGAGATCTACACTAATACTACCCAACAGGGTAGCCACAGGCCACATGAGACCATCAACTGAAAGAGACATAGTCCAACTTGGGATATGCATGTGTGTAAAATACATACAAGATTTCAGAAATGTAGTAGCCAGAAACTCTGTGTGTGTGTGTGTGTGTGTGTGTGTGTGTGTGTGTGTGTGTGACAGAAAAGGGCATCAGGTGTCCTCTGTCACTCATCACCTATTCCTTCCTTTGAAACAATCTCTCCATGAAACTGGGTCTCACATTTTCTCAGCTAGGCTAGAAGCCAGTGTTGTGGAATGTTATAAATGTTGCATTTGTTTATGTAGCAGAATATTTGTTTAACTCTGTAAAGATGTGTTACATTTGTTTATGCTGCATTTATTTACTGATGTAAAGATGTGTTGCTTTGCCTGCCTAAGACACCTGGTTGGTCTAATAAAAATCCGAACAGACAATAGCTAGGCAGTAGAGGGATAGGTGGAGTGGGCGAGCAGAGGGAATAAGTAAGAGGAGGAATCCAGGGGAGCATGAGAGAAGAGAGGAGGGAGAAAGAGGAGAAACCCGAGGCCAGCCAGGCAGCAACCAGCCAGACACAGAGTAGGGCATACAGAATGAAAGAAAGGTAAAAAGCCCCGAAGCAAAACATAGATGGAGAGAAACAGGTTAAATTAAGTTATAAGAGCTAGCAAGAAACGAGCCTAAGCTAAGGCTGAGCATTCATAACTAATAATAAGTCTCTATGTCACGATTTGGGAGCTGGTTGGGGGTCCAAAAGAAAGCCTGCTACAAGTCAGCAATCAGCAGCAAGCCTGTCTCGGTTCCCCCTTGGAGCTGAGTCACAGGTGTAAACAGGATGCCTGGCATGTTGGGTGGGTACTGGGATCTAAACCACAGTCCTTGTGCAGTAAGAACTCTTAACTGCTGAGTCACCTCTCCTGCCTGGCAAAAAGTTGCTTTTAAGTCACTGATACTTTAGAGTATGTGTAGTGGAGGTGCCCACATATTTGGAGATCAAGAATACAGCCTCAGGTATCCGTTCTCAGCTATATCTTATTTTCTGAGACAAGGTCCCTTGTTGGCCTGAAACTTTATCAAGTAGCCTAGGCTAGCTGGCCATCGAGCTACCAGGGGTTTGCCAGTCTCCAACTCCCATCTCACCATTGTTGAGATTTCAAGTGTACGCCACTACACCAAGCCCCCTAGAAGTTATTATTAAGCCATTAGTATTTAATCATGTATTTGTGTATGAGTGTCCATGTATATTTACATGGGTTCTGGGGGATCAAACTCAGGTCCTCCTGTTTATAAGACAAACACTTTGCCAATAGAGCCTTCTCTCCAGCCCTGGTATTTTATATTAGCTACCTATTAAAATATTTTGAATACGTTGGATTAAATAAAATATTTCAAAATGAAGGGGGACTGGAGAGATGGATCAGCAGTCAAGAGCACTGAATGGGCCTGGGGAGATGGGTCAGTGGTTGAGAGCACTGGCTGCTCTTCCAGAGGACCTGAGTTCAATTCCCAGCAACCACATGGTGGCTCACAACCATCTATAATAAGATCTGGTGCCCTCTTCTGGCCAGCAGGGACACATGCAGGCAGAACACTGTATACATAATAAATAAATAAATCTTTAATAAAAGAAATAAAAACAAATAAAAAAATAAAAGCACTGTGTAGTTGGAGTTTTCCTGCCTGGCCCACAGTCAGGACAAATCTCTCTCACCTGCCAGTCCCACAGCCGTCAGACCCAACCAAGTAAACACAGAGACTTATATCGGTTACAAACTGTATGGCCGTGGCAGGCTTCTTGCTAACTGTTCTTATAGCTTAAATTAATCAATTTCCATTAATCTATACCTTGCCACATGGCTCGTGGCTTTCCGGCATCTTCACATGCTGTTTCTCATCGTGGCGGCTGGCAGCGTCTCTCTGACTCAGCCTTCCACTTCCCAGCTTTATTCTCCTCCTTGTCCCGCCTACACTTCCTGCCTAGCCAATGGCCAATCAGTGTTTTATTTATTAACTAATTAGCAACACATTTGCCATACAGAACATTCCACAGCACTTCCCCTTTTTTTTTTCAAAAAGGAAGGTTTTAACCTTAGCAAAGTAAAATTACATATAATTTGGGAATTTGGGCGTAGCTTCTCTTACTACTTCCTGCTGGAGGGGGGCGCTGTATCTTATGGGGAAACAAAGAAAATTTTAGGATTATGGAATAGTCCATGAGGCTGTATCGTCTGAGCCAGATGCCTTCAAACCGTTCTGGATGTTGGATCATCTGGGCCATGGTGTCATCGGAGACCTTTCAGGGGGTCTTGGCTGGTCAAACCTGATGTGTCTTAATCTGGAACAAATCCATAGCCTCTGGCTTTCTGTGGAAACAAAAGAGACTCTTTTCCAAAGCAATATATCCTTATATCCAAATTTTGAAGTCAAGGTATCTTTAAAATATATATATTGGTTTAACTCAACAGCTTTTACAATCAAATGTTTTTCTGCAGTTAAAAATCCCAAAGAAAACACAATCCAGATTCTCTGTGTAATATCCATTTTTACGTGGCTTATTTTTTATACTACCTTTACTGTCTCTTTAAAGACTTTATTTTTTAAAACTATGTATTTGTTTCTATAACTCTATATATCACCTTTTTTGTCTCTTTCAAGCCTACGTATCTTTTACACACATTGTAAACTATTACATCTGAATCTGTCTTATTGTGAATCTACTGCTTTAAGCTGCAGCAGCTGTGGCTGCTGGCTCCGCCCACCTCAGCTTCCCAACATTGGCAGTGGTTTACCGCCAGCTCTGGGAGCTATCGGGGGTCTATGCTTTTAGCCAAGCAGCGTGTAGCCCAGAAACCTCCCCTTTTGCTCTGCACCAGCAAAGGCTAAATCCATCATGCAGCTCAAAGTGCCACTTGCAAAGGCCTCATTCCCGCCATAGGCAGGTCGAGCACGCACGCTAGGAACCCACCAGTAGCTCAAACCAGCAGCTGCCGCTCATTTGAGAGAGACAATTAGGAACTGTTTTTAGCTCCGTTTTAGAATCTTTTCTCAGGTTTTAGGTGGAAACTCTTGCCACCACGTTGGGCGCCATTTGTAGTTGGAGTTTTCCTGCCTGGCCCACAGTCAGGACAAATCTCTCTCACCTGCCAGTCCCACAGCCATCAGACCCAACCAAGTAAACACAGAGACTTATATCGGTTACAAACTGTATGGCCGTGGCAGGCTTCTTGCTAACTGTTCTTATAGCTTAAATTAATCCATTTCCATTAATCTATACCTTGCCACATGGCTCATGGCTTACCGGTATCTTCACATTCTGTTTCTCATCGTGGCGGCTGGCAGCGTCTCTCTGACTCAGCCTTCCACTTCCCAGCTTTATTCTCCTCCTTGTCCCGCCTACACTTCCTGCCTAGCCAATGGCCAATCAGTGTTTTATTTATTAACTAATTAGCAACACATTTGCCATACAGAACATTCCACAGCAGCACTGGATGCTCTACTAGAGGACACAGGTCTGATTCCCAGCACCTACATAATGGCTCGTAATCATCTGTAACTCCAGTTCCAGGAAATCTGATGCCCTCTTCTGGACAAACTTGAGGCAGGAGCATGGTACACAAACATACATGTACTGGAAACACCAGTACACATAAAATAATATTTTTGTGGTTTTTTGTTTGTTTTTCGTTTTGAGACAGGGTTTCTCTGTGTAGCCCTGGCTGTCCTGGAACTCACTCTGTAGACCTGCCTTCTGAGTGCTGGGATTAAAGGCATGCACCACAACCGCCCAGCTTATAAAATATTTTTTTAATTAAAGAGTAAAAACTATTATACTCTTTTAACAGGGCTTCTGGAACTTGAATTACCTCCACGGTTCACTTTCTTCCACTGGGCAGTGGAACACAGGCAGCAAACCCAGAGCATGGCCCTTAGGTCACAGCATTTCCTCACACAGGAACTCCAATAATGAAACCCAGACCTGAGTCACAGTCAGGATGGGGCCCTGCCACTCATGCTGTCTCTGCAAACTACCTCTGTAGATGTTCCCATGTTGGGGTTTCTATTGCTAGGATAAAACATCGTGACCAAAAGCAACTTGGGGAGAAAAGGGTTTATTTAAGTTTATATCTCGTAGTCCATCATCCAGGGAAGTCAGGGCAAGAACTCAAATCAGGAACCTGGAGGCAGGAACTGATACAGAGACCATGGGGGAACACCACTTATTGGCTTGCTCCTCCATGGTTGGTTCAGCCTGCTTTCTTACACCATCCAGGACCACCAGGACCACCCGCCCAGGGGTGGCACCACCCACAATGGGCTATGATCCTCTCACATCAATCATTAATCAAGGAGACGCCCCCACAGGCTTTCCCACATGCCAGTGTGGTAGGCACATTTTCTCAACTGAGTTCCCACTTCTCAAAGGACTCTAGCTAGTGTTAAGCTGACATAAAAACTAGTCAAAACATCTCCCAATAGAGTACCACTTCCCAGCAGGAACCATTGGGGAGATGTAGCAAAGGTGGATCTGGAGCCACTGCCTGAAGAAGGACAGGGATGAGGGAGACACTGCCTGAGGAAGGACAGGGATGAGGGAGACACTGCCTGAGGAAGGACAGGGATGAGGGAGACACTGCCTGAGGACGGACAGGGATGAGGGAGATACTGCCTGAGGAAGGACAGGGATGAGGGAGACACTGCCTGAGGAAGACAGGGATGAGGGAGACACTGAGGAAGGACAGGGATGAGGGAGCCACTGAGGAAGGACAGGGATGGGGAGACACTGAGAAGAGCCCTGGACACCAATTTATAGCCGCCACGGGGATGGTAACGTTGGGAGTGCTGCCCTCCCCCTCGGGTGAAGGGAACTGACACCCTTGAAGCAGTAAGATCTGCATCAAGGCCGGCTGGTTCCTCACACAGAAGTGGGGGAGAGGCCAGACACCCAGCTGGAAGACTGGGGTTCTCCATGTTAGCTTGAAGGGGCTTGCTCCTCTCATTTTGCTTGTTTCTATGTCGCCCCGATGCTGGTCCCTCCATATGGTATGCCCCCCCAACACAGTTGGCAGCGGCCAGCATGGATGTCACCAAATCAGGACTGAGCTTTCTGTTCAGAAGATTCACGGAGTGCATTGGTTACATCTGTAATGCTACCTTAAGTCCAGAAATCTTATTACCTCCTTTTCCCCACGAGGCTCAGAGAAGTTAAGTGACTGGCTGTCCTCGGGCCACACAGCACTAGAACCACCTTCTAGTCTAATGTGTGTGAGAGGTGGACACAGAGCTGGGCGGCAGTGGTGCACGCCTTTAATCCCAGCGCTAGGGAAACAGAAGCAGGCAGATCTCTGAGTTCGAGGCCAGCCTGGTCTAGTGAGCAAGTTCCAGGACAGCCAGGGCTATACAGAGAAACCCTGTCTCAAAAAACCAAAGCAAACAAACCAAAAACAAAAAAAAGAGGTGGACACAGGTGACTTAGGAGTTGAAGGTTAAAAGAACCTTCTCAGCTAATCCTGACAGACCGAGTGCACCTGCTCAGCATACTGTCCTCCACGCCCAAGCTCCTCCCTCCTAGCAATAACAGACTAGACTGTAGAGACTCTGCACCCCTCCTGGAACTGCCCTGCAAAGACAGGCTCCCCTGGCTCCCCGGCCTCGTGGCTGCACAGCTTTGCTCCAGGAAGCGATATTTTCCTTTTCTGTTATTTCCTTAACGGTTCAGGGACTTTCTTATTGATTTCAGAGAACCACCAGCATCCAGAGCTGCAGAGCAGCCAGGGTGACCCTCCAGCTCCCTCTCAGCAGTGATCCTCTCAACTGCAGGGAACAGGAGCAGAAGTCGAGTCTGCACCAGTTCCTCTGCTTGGAACACCACCAGGCCTGTTCAGATCAGAACTCAGTCAGGAATGGCTTTTTCCTGCAAAGGTTGGGCCACGAGCCTCACCCAGAGCCCTGGCCACAACTGTCTGACACAGGCCACATCCTGTCCTCCCTGCCTGGTGACTCATTTGTTTCCCTAGACCCACCCCTATCTGAAGCTAAGTTACAGCTATCCTGAGCTCCCTCCAGGGGCCAGGCACAGAGCCACCGGTGAGGCCTTCCAAGAGCAGGGAACTCTCTTCCCACAGAGTGGGAGGGAAGCTGCAGGCCCCACCCTCTTTCCTCTGCTCCTTCACCTTGCATCCCAGCTTCCAGGTGTGTGGCAGATGGTAAGAGGAGGGAGGGAAGGATTGCAAATAGTCCAATTGTTGACACAGCCGTGATGAGTGGTCTTGAGGTCCTGCAGGCTTCTCAGCCCATAGATGGGCCCCCGGAAGCTGAGGATCCCCTCGGAGGTGATAGAGACAGTAGAGGATGAAAGTAGAGCCCCACCCCCAGCTGGAGCCCAAAGGCTGAAGGGACTGAGTGTGAGCCCAGGGGTGCTTCTGTCTCAGGAATAGGTGAGGGTCAGGCTTCAGGGACGGAGGGGACCCAGGAGCCTCTCCAGGGTGCTTGCAGGGCACAGCAAGTGGCCTTCGAGGTCCTCCAGGCCCTCTGGTCTGCCTTCCCTCATGGGCGCTTGATTCCTTTCAGCAGCCTGGTCCCTGATGGGCTGCAAATGGCCACAGGCCCCCTGACCCTATAAGATCCTTCTCTGTGGCTCTCAGACTGCCTGTTCTTTTTCTGCGGTGCCTCGGACTGCTGGGTCACCTGCCCACACTCTGACCGTGTTTCTCAGACCACGCTCCTGCTGGTCTGGAGCCTGTCACTCAGCCCTGGCCCTCAGTCTCACACTGTAAAGGCAGCCAGCCTCCCCCACCCGGTGCAGTTCCTGAAGAGTCACTGCCCTCTCTGAAGTGCTGAGAGGTAAGAGATCTTACACAAACACACACACACACACACACACACACACACACACACACACACGGGGACACAGAGGTCACGTGCAGATGAACCACCTCACGGCGTGCCCGCAAGCCGAAGGGGCCATTCCAGGCTCCATCCTCGCAGAGTGGCACAGCCAGGCAGGCAAGGCCAGGCTACAGGTCCGGGTCTTGGTGGCTGCACTCGACGCCAGCATCCTCTTCGTGCTTGCAATTATGCGTGCCCACGCCAGCGTGCGCGCACTCCAGCAGGTTGCGTTCACTGCCCGTGCAGCGCACATCGTCCAGCAAAATCGGTAGCGAGCGGCCCTCGCCGAACTCCGCACGCTTGGCCGCTCGCACCGCGTGCGCAAAGCCCAGCTGGCGACACACCACAGCAGCCGCCTTGGTGTCCCAGGCGTCGTCGCACACTGTACCCCAGTGTCCTCCTACGAACACTTCCACGCGACCGCGGCCGGGGCTCAAGCCAGCGGGCCGTACCAGACGCACCGAGCCGTTCTGGGGCGCAGGGACTGCAGTGCTCGGACGTCCCCGCCGTCGCCCGCCTCCCTTCCGGCCCCCTGGTCTCCGGCTGGGCCGTGCTGGCTTTGTGGGCCGTATAGTAGGCGCCTGGGCATCGGCCGTGGGGCGCCTGCGGCGGGGCGCCTTGGTGGGGGCGCGGGCCGTGGGGCGAGGAATGCTCTCTGGCGTCCGGATGAACTCTGCGCAGAGGAAGGGCCTGGGGTCAGAGGGAACCTGCGGCCAACCTAGCTGGCTTTCCACCCGCGCAGCCCCCAGCCTGTGCCAGGAAAACAGATGCTAAGGAAAGATGCCTGGCTCCACTCAGCTGGCTCCACTCAGACCCTAAGATTAGGGTGCCTCTTAGGGAGCCAGCCGGGTTTGACGGGTCACCCTGACCCCTAAGGATGCTAGCCTGGAGTTGTGTCAGACGCTTCTTCAGTCATTCAGCAAGCCCTGGTTGGCAGGCAGGTGCTGTGCCAGGCCACTGCTGCTGTCTGTCCTAAGCCCTGCTCTCCCAGGAGTCCTCAGGCTACTGGGAAGACCCTGAAATTCAGGCATGGTAAGGGAGAAGTTGTCTGGACAGCTTACAGGAGCAAGGGACTTACTGCTTCCTGTCCTCGCAGAGGCCACAAAGATGGAAGCTAGCAATAGCTTCAGAGTGAGTCCCAGTACAGTCAGGGCTACACAGAGAAACCCTGTCTCGAAAAGCCAAAAACAAACAAACAAACAAAAACGATTGGCAAGGGCCCAGCCCACTGTGGGTATGCCAACCCTGAGCTATATAAAAAAAGCAGACTGAGCAAGCCATGAGCAAGCAAGCCAGTAAGCAGTGTTCTCCATGGCCTCTGCATCAGTTTCTGCCTCCAGGTTCCTGCCTTGAGTTCCTGCCCTGACTTCCCTCAGTGATGGAGTGTGACCTGAACGTTGTAAGCAGAAATAAACCCTTTGTTGCTTTTGATCATGGTGTTTTATCGAGGCAATAGAAACCCTAAGACAGATGGACTGCCGGATGGATGATAGCTGGATGAATGGATGGATCAATAAATGGATGGATAATGACTAGCTGGATAATGGCTTTCTAGATGTATGGTTGCTGGTTAGCAGGATGCATGGATGGATAGATGAATCGGTTCATAATGGCTAGATGGATGCTGGGTGGTTGGGTGGGTAGATGGATAGATGGATGATGGATGGATTCATGAGCAATTGGATGATGGGTGGGTGGATGAACTAATGTTTGGATGGATGAGTGGGGAGATGAATTGATGTTTGGATGGATGGATGGCTAGATGGATGATGATGGATGGATTTATGAGTGAGTAGGTGGATGGATGGATGAATGGATGGTAGATGGATGGACTGATGGATGAATGGATGAGTGGTTGGTAGGTATATTGATGGATGGGCGGGCAAGAAGGTAGATGGATGATAGGTGAATTGATGAATGGATGGGTGAATTTGTGAGTGGATGAATGGCTGATGGGTTGATGGATGGAAGGTGGATGAATGGGTGAGCTGATGGATAGACAAATGAATTTCCTTCATCTCTTGCAATGCAAAAGATCTTACTATCTCAAGCCACTATTCCTACCTAGCTTGGACCCAATGGAACAGCCCCCTCTACCCTTCCATAAGACTCTGTCCCAGGTAGTCATTCACAGCCTTGAATGGCCTTCAGAACACAGGGTTTACTCATGGTTCCTCCTGTCCTGAACCAAGTGGGACAAAATGGAACTATGGAAGACCAGCCCAGACGCTCCACCTCCTTACTTGCAGATAGAAATCTTCTCTCTGTGTTCCTCCCAAGCACTTTGCGTATCCCTTGCCTGATACAGATACCTCTTCTTGTCACATCCTGCCTAAGGCTGCAGCCCCTGGGGTCGCCTACCCACTGCCTGGGACCTGGCTGAAGGGTCTGTCAAACAAGATGCATTGTACTTGCGGGGTCCATTGACACTGGCTGGGTCACATATGTGTCAGACATGTGCTAGGTATAGGGGCTGTGAAAGCATTCTAGGTCCTTCTGGGGCCCCATTCTGACCTAAGGGGTGGCAGGAGCTCCTTCTCCTGCTGGAGAATACTTACTTTCCTTGGGCACAAAGGGGATGGGGCGGCTCTTCACCTTCACCTGAGCAGGGTGTATCTTACACTTCCCTGGAGGTGCCCGTCTGCCAAACACACAGAAGATCAGGACTGGGGGCCAACCTTGAGCATCACCCCCCTCACTCCATATCCCTACCCCCACCCCATCCCCTTCCCTTGCAGTGAGGGTAGGGGGCAGACAGGTGTGCTCAGAGATAGTTTAGTGTCCAGCTATTGAACACCTCTAACCGTAGGCCCTGCAGCACCCTGCCCCTCCGAAGCCCTCCCCCTGACTCCACATTGACCACACCACTTCTTCAATGCCCGTTCCTGCCCACCCCTTCCACCCCAGGCCTGTGAAAAGAGTCTCTCTCCCTGCCTCTAGTTTTGGGTTTCTGGTGGTACGTAGGCCTGGAGAAATTTAAGGCAGGAGATAGTTAAGGCAAGCTAAAAGACACAGTGGGCAGAAGGGAGGAGTCGTGGGAAGCTGGCTTTAGCAGGCCCAGGACAGCCTTGGGGCCTGCAGTTCAGAGAAAAGAGTCTGAGAAAAGTTGCCAGGGTGTGAACAGCCTCCTTCCCCATCCTGCAGAAACACAAGGACCAGAATTCCATTTAATTAGTTTTTGGCTGTTGATCTGTGATTCTTTGAATGGGTCCGACCCTGTTCCCAGACTGCCCCCACGTGGGCCCAGGACTTCAATGGGGGTTCCGTCAGCCTGGGATTGAAATAGCCACATGATGAGGTGGCCTCCTGATAGACTTGGCAGAGGAGGGGACATGTGCCTCTGCAAGACACACAGACTTCTCAAAGCTGGAGGTGCAGCCATCCCTACTCTGACCTCTCATTGGGTAAAGGGAGGAGGGTGTTCTCTCTTAAGAAAATGAAAAAAAAAAATTAATCTTTGTATGCTACACTGCAAACCACCACAGCGGTTCTGTTTGGGCAGTGAGCTGTGGCCCCTGGGCCTTCCTCTCTGTCTTCCTTTTCCACATGTCTGCTACCAGGCCTCTGAGGTGTGACTGCCAGGAAGCACACTTCTTCCAAAAGAGAAAAATAAAAGGGAGGAATCTCATCCACTTTTGCCTGCCTCTGACCCCAAGACCTTGAGCAAAAAAAAATGTCAAAGTCCTGCTGGGTCCTCCTTCCATACACAGGGACAATGAACCAAAGGGAGAGGGTGTTGTGAAATCAAAGGCCAGAAAGCAGCTAAGATGACATCTGGCAGGAACTAGATGCTCAGTAAGTGTCAGGTCCTTAGAGAATCATTCTTTTTCTTGTATTCCCCCCACAGAATATTTGTTTTTATTTTGCGTGTGTGAGCGCTTTGCATGCATGTACATCTGTGCACCACATGTGTGCAGTGCCAGCAGAGGGTGCCTGATCCCTGAAACTGGTCCCAGATGGTTGTGAGCCACCATGTGGGTGCTGGGAACCTAACCCAGGTTCTCTGGAAGGACAACTGGTGTTCTTAAAAACTGAGCCATCTCTCCAGCCCCAGCATTTCCTTTTTAAGTGGAAATAACCTCAACTTCCAAGAACTATGGAGGATGATGATGGCTCAGTGACTCAGCAGACAATGGCTAGCATCCTTTTGAGAGTGATGAGGCCATGTGGAGACAATGACCTTCCTCAGGGACAAGCCAATGAAAGGAGAGCAAGGCTGACTGTGGTCCAAGTATGAAGCCACCCGGATGAAAGTGGGTGGGACCTCGTGGAAAACAACATGGACACATACAAGGGGAGAGAGCGTGCTTATGGCTTTTGTGAGAAGAATTGTCATGAGCCAGGTGGTGGTGGCAACGCATGCCTTTGATCCCAGCACTCAGAGGCAAAGAAAGGCGGATCTTGGTGAGTTCGAGGCTAGCCTGCTCTATGGAGCGAGTTCCAGGACAGCCAGGGATACACAGAGAAACCTTGTCTCAAAAGGAGAAGAAGAGGAGGAAGAGGGGGAGGAGGAGGAGAGGAGGAGGGGGATGAGGAAGAGCAGGAGGAGAGGAGAAGAGGGATGAGGAAGAGGAGGAGGGGAGGAGGGGGAAAGAGGGAGGAGGAGGTGGAGGAGGAGAAGAAGTAGTTATGTCATTAATTGATCAATTTGTACTTTTGTAAATCATTATTTAAAACAACACACACAGTATGAGGAGCAGGGAATCTGAGAATCTGCCTGGAAACAAGATCTATGAAAACATACTGACACTCTCGGCCTTAGCGCCATCTTCCTTGGAACTCCTGTGCCATGAGAGTGAAGTGGAGGAAGAAGCACATGCGCAGGCTGAAGCACAAGAAGAGAAGGATGAGGCAGAGGTCCAAGTAAACATGGCTTGTGTACCTACGAGGCTGGAGGAGCCAGAAGCAAGGGATGCTGAAGGCTGGGACTTTGGTGCAAGTTGTTGGACTGTGTGCTACTATCACTACAAGTCTGATGGACCTGGAACATCACCACCACCTCGCAGAGACCACCTGAGAGACTTTGTTTTCATTACAACCAAACCAGTTCCACTGGCCCTCTGCCCTGGACCTATGGCATTCTGGACTAGTTCTGTTCTCACTTGTGGCCAAGTGTAACTCGTGTACAATAAACCATCTTTGTCGCTGTCTCAGCTGAAGAATCAAAAAAGAAAACATGTTGACTGAATGAGAAGCGGGGTCCTGAGGCCAAGAAGGAGCATGCACTGGGCAAGGGAGCATCTGGGAGTTAGAGGCCTGAGGAGCTCAAAGGCAGCCTAGACCACACAAGACCTTGTCTAAAAAAAAAAAATGCAAAAGAATAACACGAGGAAAAAAATAAGCAATCTTCAGAAAACTTGAGAGATCCTGGTAAGGTGGTGCATACCTGTGATCCCAGCCCTGAGGAGCTGAGGCAGGAGGATTGAGAATTTCATCCCAGCCTAGGCAACATGACAAGATCCTATATCAAAATAACAAAGCAGGCACCAGGGAAATGCCTCCGTGGGTAAAGCACTTTCGGCGCAAGCCAACAATGCATGTTCGGATCTGCAACACCCATACACGAAGCTGGATGCAGTCCCACACATCTGTAATCCCAGCCATCCTACGGTGAGCTGGGAGATAGCTAGGAGAATGGTCCAGACACTCTTGGGCCTGCTAACCTGGAGGCTAAGAACTAGCTCCTGAGAGGTGTCCTCTCCATGGCATGCCACGTGCATGCCTGCACTCACATACATCACACACACACACACACACACACACACACACACACACACACACACACATACACACACACACACACACACGGGGAGTTAAAAATTAGTAATAAATTTAGCCAGCTGTGGTGGTATACACCTTTAATCCCAGCACTCAGAAGACCCAGGCAGGTGGGTCTCTGTGAATTCAAGGCCAGCCTGGTCTACATAAAGAGTTCTCGGACATACAGAGCTACGTAATAGAAAGAACCTGTATCAAAAAGGGGGGGGGGGGGTGCTGGGGAGACGACTCAGTGGGAGGCACTTGTCACACAAGAGTGAAGACTGGAGTTGGGATCCCAGCACTCATGTAAATATAGGGTGGGCATAATAACCTGTTTGTAACCCCAAGTGGAGATAGGGAATCCCTGAAGCAAGCTGGCTAGTCAGAAAATTATGAGCTTTGGATTCAAGAGAAAGACCCTGGCTCAATATACAAGGTGGAGAGCAAAAGAGGTAGACGCCCAACCTTATTGACCCCTGGCTCCCACCTGCACACGTACACATGTGCACCCATACACATGCAAACACATATACTCATATACCACACATACCCATACACACACACACACACACACACACGCTGACAATCCCCTGTTCAAGAAAATGCCCCTCCAGAAGCTGTACATTTTAGAGACTTTAGAAAATACACAAAACCTGCCCAAACACTAGGCTGACACAATGACCCCTTTGTCGTTGTTCACTTTCGTCCCTTGAGAGTGTGCATTACACAATGACCTTCCTGGCCACTGGTCACTCTTTCTGGGGAAGTGTTCTCCTGTGATGGCACCACTCACTCCTGGAAGTGCCTTGTGCTGTTCTGTAATAAACTTCATCTTCTACACAGACAGCAACAGCAAAATTAGACTGGAGAGGGGCTGGGGAGATGGCTCAGCAGTTATGAGCACTGGCTGCTCTTCTGGAGGATCTGGGTGCAGTTCCCAGCACCCACATGGCAGCTCACAACTGTCTGTAACTCCAGTTCCAGGGATCCCCTGGAATCCAACATCCTCACACAGACGTACATGCAGGCAAAATACCAATGCATATAAAATAAAAATAAATCATAATAAAAATTTTTAATCAACTAGAACTAACTCAAGGCCTTGTGTATGCCAGACAAGCCCTCTACATTCGTAGTCTGTCCAGCCCCCTGCATACACACACACACACACACACACACACACACACACACACACACAACTTTTAATCTGATCTCACTAAATTGCCTAGGCTAGCTCATAACTCTCAGAAGCTGAGCTCAAACTTGCAATCTTCCCGCCCCAACCTCCTAAACAGCTGGTGTTACAAGTATATACCCATACGTCTTGCTGAAAATCACTTTTTTAGGCTCAGTATGTGTTTTAGGATTTCTTTACACCTGGTGTGTCTCAAAGTTTAGGGTCATTGGCTACTCTGAGGGAGAAGAAAAAAAAAATCTACAGGCTAGGAAGGGAGTTCCAGAAAGATCATCCCATAATTATTCGTTAAACACAGTCTAGTGTCTGCTCTGTGCCATTCCCAGGACCTGAGGGGTATGACCAGGGTGAGGAGACTTTGGGCAAGTGAGAGACAATGCCACCGCCAAGTGATGACATCTGAGAGGACAGGGTAGGACAGGAGGGCAAGTGGGTCAAGGAAGGCACCTGGAGGCTACAGGTTAATACACACTGGGCATGCTACCCATGGTTAAGGCCCCGGCTTCATTCATACAACAGAGAGCTGAGAGGGCTTTGTTATACACAGAAGGAGTCAGAGTAGGCCTTGAACCAAGGAGGAGGCCTCACAACAAAAACTGAAGCAGGTAGATGGAGGTGGGGATGTGGGAGTAGGTGGAAGATGGCGGAACTTATTGTCTCTGCGGACAGTATGGGCTGCAGGACCCCAGTTCAGGGACTCACCTGGAGGGGTCTATCACTTTGTAGATGACTCCTCGCGCAGCGGTGGCACTGGGCACGCCCGTGGACATGAAGTACAGCTCCCCTTTGGACGGGGAAAGGGGCAATGAGAAAACACTGTCTGCGACACAATGTAGGCAGTCCTGTCCCACCCAGGCTGCCCTCAGGCTCAAAGGCTGACCCCCAACCCCAACCTCGACCAACCCTGTAGTCCCCATATGTCTCATCCTGCCTAGGCCCACAGAGGCTCCCACCTCCACCCAGCATTACCCTGCTCCCTGCTTCACTGGGGTTCAAGCAGGCCTATTCTGCTGGCTATGATCATGTGGAAGCTGGGTCCCCACATCCTGTGTATGCATAAGTGCTGCCTAGGGTGGCCCTGTCCTCTTGGTCTCTGTACTTCGAATGCCCCTGAAGATCACTGGGGTAGCAGAGGTCCTTGTAACATCATTGATGTGTCCAAAGCACAGCTTGAGAGCCAGGGGCCGGGAGAGGCTGTTTAGCTCTGTCTAGAAGCACTGATACTTGACATGATCCAGGGCTGGCCCTGGGCTGGCCAGCTCACCGGCGCCTCCTCCTGGTTTCCTGTCACTCTGTGTCACTCAAATGACTGAGGAAGGGCCCTTGGGAACTGCACCTTCCTTCAGACTCTGTATTGGGGAGGGGAGATGCTGCTTCTAAATCATGTTAACCCCCTACTGACCAAAAGAAAAGGCTTCCAAGGGCTTGGTGAGCTTAAGAACCTCCGTGGAGCTGGGGCTGGGGCTGGGGCTGCCCTTTGGGAAACTCACATTCTAATGAGGGGGGTGGGTGGCAGTACAACAAAAGTTTCCCAGACTAAGCCCTGGGGACTTTGGGCACTGGGCCCTGCAGGGGATACCCCTCCAAAGGCTGTGGTGAGCGTTGCCTGGAAACTTCAACAAGCCTGCACTAGAGCCTGCTGGGGGCCCCTGGCCTTTTGTCAGGGAACAATCCCAGGGCCAAGGACAAAGGCGGGATGCTGGAGTGGGACGCAGCCTCTGTGGTCCCTTCTTCTCTCCCTCCCCCCTCCGTCCCCTGCTGGGAATGTGAGGTCCAGTAACAGGCTAGGAGGCTGTGTCTGCCTGCTTTAAAATGTCAATGTGGTTCCCTCAGTAGCTCAAATACAATCGGGAACCCAGCTCTTCTCCCAACTGCCTACAATTCCAAGTTGCAGATCTCCCCTGATGCTGCTAACACTGGGGGCTTGTGCCCATTATGTCTCTAGCTCTCCTATCCAACCCACCATGGGGGTGGAGGACAGCCACTTCCCTAAGTTTCCACATAAGAAAAGGGAAGCTCAGGAACAGAGTCTCTAGGGCTGATTCAAGAACACAAAAGGAAAAAGGCCAAGCCCCTGTACACAGCCCTCTCCAGCATGAGCCATTTCATGCTTAAGCTTCTTTACTATCAGAAGCATGACCAGGGTTGGTGGTTACAGTCCCAACATGGGCAGAGGGTGGAGGGGGTCCTTGGATGCTCACCAGCCTCATCCTCTGCAAAGGAGATGATATATGGATAGTAGTTGTTTATGAGGCCTGGGAAAGCACATGTCTGTCCACGGCCCATGCAGACCTCACTGTACTTCCACTGGCCTGTCTCTGGGTTCTCTCGGAGGGACATCAGTCTCCTGCAAAGGAAGATGAACTGTGAGGTCATGGCTAGTGCGTTGCACAAGGGGATCCATCCATCCGTCCATCCGTCCATCCATCCATCCATCCATCCATCCATCCATCCATCCATCTACTCATCCATCCAGTTATTCACACACCCATTTCATCCACCTGTCCGTCCACTCATTCTTCCACCCATTTATCCATCCATCCGTCTTTGCACGTAACTTTTTTATTCTACTGGTTGTTCCTAAGAATGACCGGGACTTTCTCCCTGAGGAAGAGACCTGTTTGGTCCACTCCTGAGCACACACATACACACACTCCTTTTACCAGTCAGGAAGAGTGTGGGTCATGTAGGCCACTTACCCACTCATGAAATCACCAAAAATGTAGAGGCCGTTGAGGTTGGGGTACCCGCAGCCCCGGTACACGTAACCCCCAGTGACTGATTTGCCCAGCTTGTGAGGGTAGGCGAAAATCGGCAGCACATCATCTGAGGGGCGGGTGAGAAAGTGGGTTCATCTTGAGGCCTCACAGACAGCCCTGAGCCGCTCATGGAGAGGGGGTGGCCTGTTCCAGGAAAGCTCTCAGGGGGCATAACTGTATTTTTAGGGGTTCAGTAGGACATGCATGGCGAGGAAGAACCTAAAATATTGCTTGAAGGGACCCCCGAAGCACGGGAAGGTCGGGAGTGGGAAAAGTCAGTCCTGTGAAAGAGGCAGGGAACAATGCTATATGGAAGTGGGGGAGGCAGTGATGTGGGGCGTCTAGGGAGGGAGGGAGGCAGGGGGTTCCCATGGGGTCACTCCGTGGAGTGAAAGGGGTCAAATCTGAATTGGAGTTCCCCTGAAGAATGGGGCAGATCTGGGTCTACAGACCCAGGGAGGACCTAGGTTTGGGGTTCTGGGTGAATGCTGATCCAAGCTGGGGAGTCCCCAAGGGGATGGGGTGGGACAGAATGAATCCTTGTTGAAGGTCTGTGCAGGAGAGAGTTGGGGGCAGGTCTAGTCGGAGGAAGGGAGAGGACCAGAGGGATGCTGTTTGGAGGTCCCCAGGGACGCAGTCACCCACCGAGGGAGGCGTTGGCACACAGCTTGCGGTCATAGCACTCGAAGCCCTCGCGAGCACGCCAACCGTAGTTGCGGCCCCGCTCCACCAGGTCCACCTCCTCGTACTTGTTCTGGCCCACGTCCCCACAGAACAGGCGGCCCCGGCCAGTGCCTGACACCGGGTCTCCGCGGTCGAAGGAGCAGCGCCACATGTTGCGCACGCCCAGGGCGTAGACCTCGGGCCGCGCTCCGGGGTCGTCCACAAACGGGTTGTCAGGCGGGATACCGTAGAGGAGGCCGCGCTCCTTGCGGTCCACGTCGATGCGCAGCACCTTGCCCAGCAGCGCCGACCTGCGGCCGGGGCGGAGAGCGCCGGCGGGTTACACTGGGTCCGCGCAGGGAGCAGGAAGGGTGAGCCATCCCTGAGCCCAGCCCTGCTCAGCCCATCTGCCCCGGCTCTCTCTGCACACCCTCCTGCGTGCGTGTCTGTCCCGCGCTCGCTGCGCAGCAAACCCTGCTGGAAGCCCTAACTCACCACCTGTCACAGCTGACCTTTCAGGTCAGAGCTGCCCTTCATAGAGGGCACTCGAGCAAGGACAAGCCACCATCCGGCTTGTCGTTCAGTTGCACCAGGCCCTAGAAACCCAAGCTCTTCACCACGAACGTCTACGGAATGCCATTATTCTAAGCTGTAATACCGTGGGTGCTGCTGTTCACACAGCTGGGCTATAGGGTGAAGACTGTACTAGAAAAATAACTCGCATTTTTCTCGTAGTCAACCAGGTGCTCCCATATAGTGGAGACCACAGAGTGCTGAGCCATTGAACCAGAACAAGCCATCGAAGCCGGATATATCAAATAGTACCAAATATAGTTGAGGGAGAGCGGACATGTGTTCTAACTTCCTGGCAGCTCTAGGGGGAGGGGGAAAGTAGCCGACGACTTCATTGATCCCATGAGCAAAGTGGTCCACAACGGGAAAACGGCTAAAACAGTGGTGGTTCTCAACTTGTGGGTCGCGACCCCCTTGGGGTCGCCTATCGGATATTTACAATTCCAAACAGCAGCAAAATTACAGTTAGGAAGCAGCAATGAAATAATTTTATGGTTTGGGGGGGTCACCACAGCATGAGGAGCTGTGTTAAAAGAGTCCCGGCATTGAGAAAGTTGAGAACCCTTGACCTAGAAGATACCTGGAGTGAGCAGGGTGGGGGAGCACAGCTTTTCAGGGTGGCTCCTGCTGTGCCCACTCAGGGCACACATGCTTCCCCCTCCGTTAGCACATGGGAGCTGACTCCTTCCTCCAGGCCGCCCAGCAAGGCAGAGTTCACTCAGGTGACACATTTACGTCCCTGTCACTGGCACACAGCATTAGAACCCAGTGTTTCCCTCACAAGTGTCCTGTCACGGTGATAAACAGGCCAGTGGCAATGGTTCCTCCCTGTGGCCAGGCACTCCGGCCCCCCACCCTTACACCCCACATCCAGCTCTAGGATCTACAGACAAGAACTCCTAGCCGTAAAGTGGTGCTTTTAACTTCAGCTCAGTGATCCAAGGATCCTGGTGTAGTTTCTCAGCCTCAGCTCTAATCACGCGGCCGATGTGAAAAGGGGGGATGTTTCTTACTGTCAAACAGGGATGCACAGGCCACACACCGTAATCCACACATCTTCACTACGGTTACTTTCTTGGCCAAGAGAGGCTGCGAATTTGGAGTAAAGGAAGGGGAGAGGCTGGCTGGGACCTCCTGGACATCCCTGTGCACGTGCACAATTCTCCATGTGTGTTTATGTGTACACACACACACACACACACACACACACACACACACACACACACACGAAAGGAGGAGGAGGATGAGCCATTTGCTCAAAACAGGAAATAGATAAATGAAGATGAGATTGCACTCAGCTTCTGGGTCTCTTATGGGAGTAAGAGACCTACCCCAGATCTCCCTTTGTCATGGGAATACATGCCTTACCCCAGCAAAGCCCAGCAGGCCAGAGATCACTTGGAGAAAGCCCTATCTTCCCAAAGGCTCACTGCTGTCACTTCTCGGGTATCTGTGACAATGGGTGCTGTGCCTGACCCTTGACAACCACTGGCACCTCCTTTCCTCATGACAATCTCCCACTGAGCTTGTCATTGTCCTCGCTAATCAGTGGGGGTAAGTGACTTAGCTGGGGTCCCAGCTAAATGCAGGCTACCACCCTGCTCTGTGTGGGAGGGGCAGTTGATCTCCCTCCAGGAACACTCAAGAAGCTCTGTGTGCAAACTGGTGCCTGAGCAGAGAAGAAGCAGGGCATACTTGTTTTGCGCATTTCCAAACGTCCCAAAGGGGTCTCCAGCCATCCCGCCATCTCCGGTAAAGATGTAGAGGTAGCCGTCGTCCCCAAAGAGCAGCTGGCCCCCATTGTGATTGGCAGCTGGTTCTTCAATCTCCAGGATGATCCTAAAGAGAAGATAAGTAACCCCTCAATAAAACGCCTTCCAAACAGTAACCCCCAAACAGCACTAAAACCTTCTCTCAGATGCCATTTCACCATGGAAAAGACTTTCTCTCTCTTATAACATTTTTTTTCTCACAAGGACCTACAGGTAGGTTATGCAGGGATAATTCACATCACTGTGTCAAGGAAGGACCCGGATGCTTGAAGAGGTTGAGTGATCGAGGGCACACAGGCCATCAGCCTCAGCGCCAGGACCAGGACTCTGGGCCAGTGTTTGTCAGCTGCTGTCCACCCCCGGTACCCAACAGAAGGTGGTCATCTGGTCATTACCACACCTCGTGTCCCACTGGTGAGTCAGAGCACGTTTGACACGCTCCTTTGACTGTTAGCAATGAGCTGCGCAGGGCAGCGGGGTGGGCCCTTTACCCACACACCCCTGGGACCTCCCTATTGCCGCTGGAGGAAACCTTCCCTGTGCCCAGTCTGCTGGCTTTCCCTCAGGGCTTGCCATGGATTGGGGGAGACACAGCCGTTCTCTCTCGAGAAGCCGCGGGTATACGATATGAGAGTATAGATATAGAATATAGAGACACGAGAGTGACTGAGGTGGACACCTCAGCCAGTGGCAGAACTCAGCCACACCAACTCCTCCAGTTGATTCCTCTACCCTGGTAGCGACCACAGACAGCAGTTGGTGTTCTTAGGCCATTGGCCATCCACCAACCACCCTTTTGCAGCCCTCTCCCTGCCATGTGGTTAACTCCCTGTACTTGAGCCCCCCAATAAAATGAGTCCCGGAACAATCAGGTTCAACAGGATCAGCCACTGCACTGACCTCATTCTCTCTCTCTCTCTCTCTCTCTCTCTCTCTCTCTCTCTCTCTCTTTCTCTCTTTAGTTTTTTGAGACAGAGTTTCTCTGTGTAGCTTTACGCCTTTCCTGGAACTCACTCTGTAGACCAGGCTGGCCTCAAACTCACAGAGATCCGCCTGCCTCTGCCTCCCGAGTGCTGGGATTAAAGGCGTGCGCCGCCACCACCGCCCGGCCAACCTCATTGTCTTTTAGGAAAACAACAAAAATAGGACACAGGGTCGACGTCTTTGGATCCAGACCTCGAGGCCTTCCTTCATCAACAATACTGGAGCTTTTCCATGGTGAGGCTGATGCATATGATGCTTACAGAGCCCCAAACTCAGGGTCCTCAAAGCAGAGGACAGCTCAGACTGCTCGTCCCTCCAGCCATGGGAAGACACTGACAGCTGACCTGGTACCAATGATGGCTCCCTCTTGCCAGCCCTGCCAACTTCTTCCCCTGAGTGAGTCAAGTTCTACATGATGTGCCCAGAGGACACTCACTTGACACCTCAGTCTAAAATGTGTGAATCTGAATACTTCCGAAGTCAGGATTTTTTTAATATTTTGTTTTATTTTTATTTGTGTGTATGGATGTGCTTCTGCCGTGTGTGCAGGTATCCTCGGAGGCCAGAAGAGGGCACCAGATCTGCTGGTGCTGGAGTTATAGGCTGTTATGAGCTGCTCGATGTAGGTGCTGGAAACTGAACTCAGGTCCTCCTGAAGAGCAGCCAGTGCTCTTAACCATGGAGCTATCTCTTCAGCTCCAGGATTTTTGGTTGTTTTCAGGCAGGATCTCCCTATATGTCCCTGGATTCCCTGGATGCCCTAGAACTCACTATGTAGACCAAGCTGGCCTTGAACTCACAGAAATCCACCTGCCTCTGACTCCATGGTGCTGGGACTAAAGGCGTGCGCCACCACAGCCACTTGACCCACCACACCCACCTGGTTTTTTTTTTTTTTTTTTTTTTTTTTTTTTAGGCAGGGTGTCAGGTAGCTTAGGCTAGCTTGGACATGCTATATAGTTGGAGATGGCTTTGAACTCTGGATCCTCCTGATCTGGTTGCCTCCACTTCCTAAGGGCAGTGATTACAGGACATGTGCCCACCAATCTCAATTTCCAACTTCAGTTTTTATCACGAGTCGTTTTTTATGTCACTGTTGAAGAAACATGTATTTCATCCTCCATCTACCCTCTGTCTGGTCCATGGGACAAACTTTCTCCCACCAAAAAGTGGTCTCCCAGGCTTGGGTACAATCATGAAAATTCTGTTTTCCTTTTTTTTCCCCCTCTGGTTGCCAGATAACTCAAAAGTCAAAATTAATTGCTATAAAACAAGGTGTCTATTAACCCGCAAAGCTACTGTTTTGAACTGTTTCTCTTTCTTATATGTCCCATATCAACATTTCACAGTTTCATCAAATACACAGTGTCCTTTTATTCACCTTTTCACCAACACACCTGAGCCTGGCCTTGTTCCTGCTTGCTTTTTATGTGGGGGGGTAGGGACAGGCAGTATCACTGAACTACATTTCCCATGCTCCTTTGCTAGCTGAACAATCTCAGCCAATAGAAGGCCTAGGGGAGCCAGGGGTGGGGCTGGTGTTTTATTTGTGTTTCTGGCAGTATCTATACAATAGCTGCTCTTCCCCCATAGCTCCAGTCTGGTTGGCCCCCAACCAGACCTACCCCACAGTTCTGAGGCATCACTTCTCCCTGGGTTCCTCCAGCCATAGGAGCAGACAACTTCCTCCAGTGGCCCAGACTCAATGCCTCCTTTCCCAGGCTGTCCTTCCAACACTCTACCAACCAAGACTCTTATTTTCAGTATCCACTTCTGCCTGGGAGAGTCTCTGGGGCAGGGTGACCAAGCCAGGTCAACTCCCCTCTGAAACAGTTGGGCATAAGTAATAGAGGGTAGGTTCTGCAGGCACTGGGGGGCCTGGAAGTAGGAGCAGATTAAATGGGGTAAAAACTGGACACCAATGCCTGTAATTCCAGTACTCAGGAGGTAGAGACATAGAACATCAGGAGTAAGGTTCCAGGTCAGCCTGGGTTAAACAAGACCTTTGAGAGAGAGAGAGAGAGAGAGAGAGAGAGAGAGAGAGAGAGAGAGAGAGAGAGAGAGAGAGAGAGGAGAGACAGCGAGGGGGGGGGGGGGGAGGGAGGGAGGAGAGAGAGAGAGAGAGAGAGAGAGAGAGAGAGAGAGAGAGAGAGAGAGAGAGAGAGAGACTGGGGCAGGAAAGAGAGCCCCAGCTGCCAGAAGACAGAGAATGAAGAGTTAGGGGCAAGAACGGCAACTTTGGACCAGAGCCCAGCAGGCCCAGTGGCAGGATGTACTTCTGTGGACAAACCAGGACTCCAGCTTGGATGCTTCCAAGCTGTGTGACCTAACAGGTCACTTGCCCCCTCTGAGCTGTGACCTCATCCAGTTTTATGAGTCAGATGAAATGACTATCTCCAGAGCCCGCAGCAGAAGAGGAGAGAAGCAGCTGGCCCACGAGGCCAGAGGCAGGGGTCAGGACATGACCCCACACCACGTCTGTTCTGCAAAATCATTCTTCCCCAGGCTCCAGAGCATGTGATTCAGGCCCCCATGGGGAGTGATAAATATTCACAGTATTTATGACAGACTCGCTCACGCAGCCTTAACTGCGTGTGTCACGCAGCCTCCCACGTGACCACTCAGCCCTCCCCTTGGCTGGGGCTCCCAGAAAGCCACCTCTCTGAGCCATGATCCACGGTGTTCGCATCATCCTCTGAGACTCTGAACTCGCTGATACGGATCCACTCTCGGAAGCCGACCCCCACAGAGTAGTAGACATAGAGCTTGCTGGGATGTGGGAAGTGGGGGTGGAAGGCGAGGCCCAGGAAGCCCCGCTCATCCCCTTCCCAGGGTGATGTAAGCACTGCTTGGCTCACATTCAGGAAGGGCTTCTCCAGGCGAGAGAGGTCAGGCAGGTAGGTCCACACCAGCCCCACCTGCTCTGCCACGAAGAAGCGGTGGCTGCCATCCCCAGCGTGTACCATGGCAACAGGGTTTCGAAGCCCATTGGCCACCTCCTCCAGACACAGCTGCAGGCAGCCTTTGGCATCAGCCACCACACGGCCCAGGTTTGAGTTCAGGTTCTCGTTGACAAGCAGGCTTGGGAAACAGTAATCGGTGTCATCTAGGGACAGGTAGCGGCACAACTTGGCCCTGTGGTTCTCCAGGGCCCAGAGCTCACGGTCAGGGGAGAGGTGTCGAAAAAGGCCTCGGCAGGTCTGCCACATGTCCAGGCAATAATCCTCACATAGGCCAGGCACTGTCCGCAGCGGGGTGGCCGGATCCTCGGCATCATAGAGGTGGGCTGCATAGGGTGAGCATTCCTGTAGAGACAGGAGGGCTCAGAGATTCCAGGAGGAGAGCCCACACACACCTGCACAATTTACTCCTTGCTTTTGTGTCCCCATTCAAGGGTCACCTCCTAAGATCTGACCTCCCCGCCATTACTTCCAGGCCTCTGACTACTTAGAAAAACAAAGCCCCCCCCCAAAAAAAAAAAACAACTTACTCTGAGCCTTCATTGTACCAAAACATAATATTCTGTTTGGTATTGTCTTTTTTTTTTTCCAGAATGTGCATTCTATCAGAGCAGGAATGTTTTATCTTCACTGCTATATCCCAGACCCTCACATAAACCCAGGGCACAGTAGGCCACAGCAAATGGTGAGGGGACAGTGAAAAATATTCTTCCTTGCCAGTCTTCTGGCCACCTCTGTGTACCTTTGTCAAAACATTCCTACATCTATTCTTCACTTAATGTTTCTGAGTACTTCACAGGGGGGAAACTGAGGCTCAGGGCCCCCAGTGTTATCAGGAATATGCTCAGGTTAGTAGCATATGGAGGCATCTGAGTTTGTAGTCTCAGATATACCCTACTCTCTCCATAACCAGACAGCCAACATGTACACAGGACCTGTGCGAGTGTGGGGTGAGGCCCAAGCCTATGTCTCCCAGGATACCCCAGGCCATCTATCCTGCCCTCAGACTCAACTCCTTCCAGCAGGACCCTGGAACTGTCCTCACTGCAGCTACCAACACAGAAGTCTGTGAGAGTAATGCATCTCCTTGGGCACTGCCTGATCAGAAAGGCTCACAAGGTCCTTTCCCCAGTTCTGCCTTGGGGTAGAACTCCTCACTTTTTCTACCGTATAGGCTTCCCCATTTGTGAGATGCTATGGACCTCATTCAGGCCCGCCGTGGGCGCTGTATGGGAGGAGAGTTAGTGTCTCAGAGAGCAAACCCACAACCACAAACAGGAGTGTGTGGATAGGTAACACATCCTCATCTCTTCTAGACAGTTCTGCCGTGGAGTCAGTCACATGGCCCCTTCCCAGACCATCTCCCTGCCGGGTCTGCAGCAAAACTCTCTAAAACCCAGGCTCCATGGGAACCTCTGTGGAGTCCATCACACTGTGGTTACTTTTCTCTGGTGTGAAAGACCCTTGTTGCCACTCCCCCCCAATCCCAGAGCTCAGTTCAGGATCGCCAGAGGCCTTAGAGATGCAAGTCCTAGAGAGAGAAGACAATGGCAGCTATACACTGCCTGTTCTCGCTGGGAAACCAGGCTGGGCTGTAGCAGACACCTCAGCAGAAAGTAAGAGGACAGCTAACCTCAGCATAGTGCTCCTAACTCCAGGCCAGGGGCTCCCTACTGTTACAGCTTCAGTCATTACATGGCCTGTCCCCTGGTCCCTCTGTTGGTGTGGGCTGAGTCCCACCTGACAAGCTAAGGGTCCTCCTGTGTGTTCTTGGCATCTCTGATCAGTCACTGTCCCCATCATCTTTCATATGTTCCATTCTGCATTCTGTGTATGACAGGCCAGACAGCCACACCTCAGACTCTGAGCTGGGCCAGCTCTCCGGTGATCCTCTAGATGCTATTGTGGGCCAGCAGCAGCCAGGGGGAGTCCAGAGAGGACTATGTACACATAGGCTTCACGGCCTTTCTGCAGGGCAGAGTCACTGTGACTCTAGTGTTGTATATGAGGGACTTAGGCTAACAATAGTGATATGCCAAGGATTGGCCAGACCAGGACTCACCCCCAAGCTTTATGACAGCCAGGCTTGTGCTCTTTACACCAACACTTCACGCAACTACCACCAACACTTTCCACCAACATTTCACTCGGCAGAGCACAGACTACCAGGCACTGGCCTTGGCTCCAAAGACACAGTAGAGACAGGATAGAACCTGATAGCCCTGCTGATGGTAAGCTAAAGCTAGTCGTGGCTATTGCTCTGATCTCTTTGGCTATTACCTCATCACCCTTTCCTTGTGAAAACTTACCCAGAACACTTGGAGGGCACAGGGGATCTGGGGACCTGGTGAGGACCTTGGCATCTACCCACATAGTAGCCACTGAGGCTAGCAGCATCTTACATGCGGTCTCTGTATTCTTTCTCACACACAAGACCAGAGCCACCCAGAATTGGTAAATGACTAATTAGTAAATTAGTAAAAGGAGCCAGTAATTGCTGCTGACAGAGAGGGTGGACAGTCACTGGACCTCGTGTCTGGGGTTAGGCAGCGAAACATCCACAAGAGCAAAGTGTCTGCCACCTGATGGCCCCAAGGTTGCCACAAACCAGTTACTGACACTCATGACTCATGGCCTCAAGTCTCAAGGCTTCTTACCCCCCCCCCCTGCACCCCGCCAGGAAGACTGGGTTTGTACACAATGTTCCCTCTGTGGGATGCTCCTTCCTCCCTCACTTCCACATCTGGCAAACTCCTCTTCATGATGCAAGGCCCAACCCACAAGTCTCCTCCTTCCTCTTTCCCCGGGGTAGGATCCTGCCCCTGGGATGCTCAGGACACTCTGTCTCTGACTCACACAGGTCACCTGGTAATCTGTCACTTCCAGAAGCAACTGTCCTCTCCTGCCATCACCTCTGCTTCACCAGAGGTGGTCTGGCTGCTCTGCCTGGCTATGACTCAATTATTGCTTTGCCTGCCTGTCCACCCCACAGACTGCAGGGCCCTTGGGGACAGGCGTCCCAGGATCCAGCACACGGTTTGGCTACAGGAAGGGCTTTGGAGCCAGCGCTTAAGTTCCATGTGTGATGTTTGGTAAACTCCTTACCTCTCCGTGCCTATGTTCCCATCTACAAAATGAGGAAAGAACTCCAACCTCATATAGCTGTTGGGAGCAATGAACTGAGATGCCAGGTGTTTGTTCGGTAAATGTTCCAATAAGATGAACCCCGAGGGAGTAACTCAATGGTCACTCTTCCAGTCAGTCCCAGATTTCTGAGGGCTTTTCACTACTTGCCCTGGTACCTTGGGGAAGTCTCTTGGTTGTCTGTCTATCTCCTGGAATGAATGGCGAGGCTTTGGAGGCTAAGTCTGTGACTTGCCAACTGCCTCGGCCCAGAAGCACAGAGCCAACTCCTCGCTGGCCCTGGAGAAACGTCTGCTGAGTGCATGAGTCTGTTAAGCACCATCCCATATCACTATTCAGTAACTCCATTGATGAACTCATGCATCCAGCTACAGAGAAGTTAACCACATGTGAGCTACACACCAGCCACACTGAAGTTGCCACGTGCAACCATTGCCTGATATATTTTCCCAGAGGAGGGCAAAGCCTCAGGAAAGAGCCTCCTGCCTCTGCAAGACAGCTGTAAGTCCTGCATGATCCTTGACGGAAACCTGTAGGTAAGGCTCCTTGAGATTGGTGGCAGTGAGGATGGTGCTCCCATGCTCTCCCAGGACCTCCTCAGGGAGACCATGCCACAGCCTTGGCAGACCGGCTGATGCAAGCTCAGTCCAGACATGAGGTCACCCCCAGAGACGCCTTACTGGAGGTACGAGCAGACGCTCTACCATAGCTGCTCAGGCCAGGCCATTTTGGGCAGGTTCCCAAGGAAAAAGAGGTGCCTCCTGCCAGCAAACAGCCTCAGGATTGGCTCCTTCCTCCCCCCAGTCCTGTCCATCTTCTTTGCCATTCTGAGCCCAGCACATGGTGAGTACCCTCTAAGCAAGCATGGCCTGGGCGTAGGAACCCTGCTATTGACCTGGGTGCTGCAGGGAGACCATGGTCCTGTTCAGGTGGACTTCCAGGCTGGGGAGAGAGGTGGGTGGTCCACCAAACTTCTGGTTCTCTTGAGATGCACAAAGTGGGAGCTTGGTAGCTACAACATGAGAACACCCTAGAGCACCGTGCTTTCCCTACCCCCTCTCCTCACCTCACCCAGCACCCAGGTGCCCTCTCACCGGGGCACTGAATATGGCCCGAAGACCCACCACTGGGCCATGTCACCCCTGGACAAGTGCCCACCATTCCTGAAGTGGCCCCTGATCCTCACATTCTCCCTGGACCAACAAGTAAACAATAGAGAAATTCACCTACAAACCCCAATTGAACCACTCTATCTGTGTCATTTAATCTTCATGGCATGAGGTCGGGCTAGAAATCTGTCCCTGCTTTAAAGATAATGTAGCTGAAAGACTACCATGAGCCTCTCAAGTTCCCAAGCAGGAGAGAGATGGTGATATCAGCCCCTTTATCTCGCTCCTCTAGCCTGCCCCCTGCTGGCTGGGACTGGAACTTTGTACTGCCTGGTGGGGCCCTTCCACTGATGAATCCCTTCACTTCAGAGTCCTAGGTTAGGGGGTCAGCCTTGGGGTTTCCCTGACAGGCTGGCATTCCTGAGATCAGATCAGTTGCGCAGAGGAGACAGAGGGGGTTGTGGTCAGAGACACTTGACATTAACAAGAGGAAAATGGTAGTTCAGTGTGGATCAAAGTAAGGTTTCCACCATCAGAGAGGAGATGAGATGGGTCTGGGGAGAGCCTCTCCCAGGTAAGGAGCCGGGCCAGTGACAGAACAGAAAGGTGGGTGTTTTAAGCACGTAGAAACCCTACAGGCCTTGGTTCACCCTGGCCCCGAGAAATGGGCCCTCAGACTGCTCATTAAGTCCGCCTGAGGAAGGGTCAGACTGCCCAACAGCCACGCCCCATATTTTGGCCACACCCTCTTCGCATCCTGCCTTCCTCGGCCTAGCAAAAACCTCACCCTGGTACCTGAAAGGGTCAGGACTCTCCGAGGTGGGGCACTGGGGGCAGATTCCAGAGCATCCCAAAGAATAGGAGTCTCTAGTCTTTAAGAGGAACCGAGGCCCCTAAAAGTCCCAACATCTTTGCAAAGCAAATGAATAACAAGAGATGTCCTGGGATGCCTGGTCTTCCAGCCTGGTACCAAGTCACTCCCTCTTGGACATCCAAGCTCCAAAGTCCGGTACCCACTCCTAGCCCTCACCTCTGTGGGGTTGCCATTGCCTCAAAATCCGTGACCCACTCCTGAGTCTCGCCCTTATGGGGATGCCATCGCTGCTCCGCCCCCCCCCCGCCCCTCCCAGGGACCAGGGCCCCGCGTGCCCCGCCGCCGCGAGCCCGTTCACCTGGCACAGCAGATCCAGCGCGTAGCCGGCACACGTCGCCCACACCCCGGCGTCCAAGCGGGTCTCCAGGGCCCGGAAGCGCCGGGCCAGCGCCGCGTCTTGCTCCGCGGTGCAGCAGCCGAAGGAGGAGTACTGCGCGCAGAAGCTCAGCGGCTGCGGCGGCCGGAAGGGCGGCCTGAAGTCCAGGCACTGCGGGTGCGCGGCGGCCAGCAGAGCACGCAGAGCCAGCAGCGCCCCGGGCCCGATCCCGGCCACAGCCCGTCGCCCCGCCATCCGCCCGGCGGTCTGCAGAGGGAGAAGTAGAAGGCCAGCCAGCCCCTCCGGGGCGCCCCCCAGGAGCCGAGGGCCGCACCCCCGAGCGCCCGCCTCCCGCCTTGCCTGCACCCTCCCGAGCGCTCGAGGGGAAGCCCGTGGACTTGCCCCGCAGGCTTCGAATCAGGGGACTCCTCTCTCTGGGGGGGTCACCTCTGCTTGGGAGCACTCTGCAGTACTGGAGAAGCGCGGCACAGCCTGGCTCCCGCTCTTCGGGCAGCCCCCTCCTCCTGGCCCCGAGCCTTTCCAACAAGAGTAGTGGCCTGGCCTCTGGGAAGCCCTGATTGCCCGGTTTCACAGTTCCACCTCTGAGTCTCAGCTTCCTTACTTGGGGCGCTCGCTACTTAGCCGCCAAGGAGCAAGAATCCCAAAGCCCAAAGCAGGGACTCCTGGGTTGTAGTCCCACCTTTCTCTGGACCAGACAGGAACTTAGCAGAGTGTTTAAAAATGGAGGTGTGATGCAAAAGACAGGTGGTGTTGCCCGGGACCTCACAAGAAGTGAAGCCTGAGCCTGGGGTGGGAGGGAAGAGGCGGCAACACCACCGTCCATCCTTGGCCCTGCCCAGGCTTCTGTCTTCCCCTGTCCGTGGAACTCTCCACCCGCAGCCCAGAACCCATGGCCTCAGTCCTTTCTACGTAGGAAGCCCTAATGGGTGTATCTCCTGGGTAGGTGTCCACAGCTCCATCCCCAGCACTTGTCTCACCCCAAGAATGCACATAAACACTGCCTCATGGGCCCGGACTTCCATAACACCCAAACCCCTGGCACTTTCCCAAGAGTACCCCAGCACTGGCTTCTCCCTGGGGTGCCCACCCTATCAGTTCTGTCTCACACACTCTCACAGTCTTCACCTCCAAACTCAGATACCCATTCTCTGCCGTCTCTTTGAACTGTCCTGTGTCGGTCTGTCTGTCTGCCAGCGTTGCTTAGTGTGGTTAGTGTTGCTTGGATTCCACAGAGCTGTGGTTGGAGCCCGAAAGGGGGTTGGAGTGGTAGCGATGAGTCAAGGTCTTCATTTGAGACCAAACATCTCCTCTCTAAGTATTTAGAAGTGAGCATATTTAACACACAGCGGACGGCAGAGGTTGAGAAGCCACACGGGGTGGGACAGTGAGACAACATTGAGTTTTTCGACAGCAGTGGTGGTCCACAAAGTCCCTGGTGGCAGGAGGTGGCTATAGACAAGAAGCTATGACCAACAGCTACAGCTGGACCCTCAGGAGGGAGAGGGGGAGACAGCCACTGTCAGATGATGGGGGGGGCAGCAGGGGAAGTACACCTCCACTTCTGCCTCCTCCTGCTCCAGTCAGTATCTATTATAGACTGAACTGAACATGGATGGCTGAATAGGAGTCTGGAAAACGTGGTCTTGGGAGTTGGGTGGCCACACAAAGTGCTCGGCAACTGCAGAGCCCAGGCAGGGAAGGATATGGTCACAGCTGCCTGGTCTCAGGCTGGTGGTCAGAATAGGGTAATGATAATACACCACTTGGGGAAATTCCTGGAGGCTGGATGTGGATGAATATGAGTGAGAGGCTATGGGTGGCACAATCTTAGGGTCATGCTCTTTTTTTTTTTTAAAGATTTATTTATTTATTATGTATACAGAAGAGGGTGCCAGATCTCATTACAAATGGTTGTGAGCCACTCTGTGGTTGCTGGGAATTGAACTCAGGACCTCTGGAAGAGCAGTCAGTGCTCTTAACCTCTGAGCCATCTCTCCAGCCCTAGGGAACCCATCCAGGATCTCAGGGAAGCCCCATCGTGGTTCTGGCCGACGGAAGGAGGAGGACTGTCAGGACCCTGAAGCAGGCTGTGTCTCCAGGAGAAAGGGCTTTGAGACTCACCATGAGGAAGAGAAGGCATCCCTTTACATTGATGACTCATTAAGAAGACAGTCACCTCAGACACAGTATGAGGGCCGCAGCAGCCAGGGGCATAGGGCCATAGACATCCCCTCTACCCCATCAGCAGGCTCTGGTGTAGCAGCAGGTGACGTGACGGCTGCAGGACACCCTCTGTCTGAGGAGAAGCGAGTACTCAGGCAACAAGGAGCAGCTATGTAGACACCCGGTGGGTGCTTCAGGCCTCTAGCACCTCATCAGATGCTAAACCCTAGCTAGACTCATATTATGTCCTCACCCCGGAGCTCTACGTCTCTCGGTTTGTGTTGTCCAGGACATCACAACTGCTTTCCAAAACAAAACAAACAAGCAAACCAAGGCACAGTGCAAGGTTTGAAGAAAAGTCTGACTGAAGAGGCCAAACTGCCATGACACATTTGCTAGAGCTATGGGGCAGGGAACTGGGAAAAGCGATGATTCAGACGTTGAGACTCCCGTGGTAAACAGGGAACTGTGGGGGAAGAGATGGGCGATGTAAACACAGACAAAGCTGTCAGATAGAGGAGTTGAAGGCCAAGCCTGGGGGAGGCCCTGGCTCCCGTCCCCAGCAAAACAGTCTTTGCAAAGGCAAATTAAAGGGGCTCTAGAGACAGTGTGATGAGTAAGTGCTCCCCTTGCGAGGAGGAAGCTCTGAGTGCAGTCCCAGAACCCAGGGGAAAATCCAGGCATGACGGCATACACCTATAATTCCAGTACTGGAGAGGGAGAGACAGGCGGATCTGTGGGGTTCTCTAGCCAGCTAGCCTAGCCTACTTGGTGAGTTCCAGGCCAGAGAAATAAACACAAAACAAAACAAAATTAAAAGATACAATAGAGGACTGGTGAGACACCCCATTAGGAAAAGATATTCCCCATCTAGCCTGACAACCTGAATTCAACCTCTGGGATCCACATACAGAAAAGGGAGAGCTGACTCCCACAAGCTGTCCTCTGAACCTCCCCTTCCCACACACACACACACACACACACACACACACACACACACACACACACACACACTATGACACACAAGTAAATAAATGTAAATAAAAAGTTATGTAGAAACAAAAAGCCTTGTAACAGAAATAAAAATGTGCCGGGTGATCTTATTTTATGCTCATTTATGTATGAGTGTTTCGCCTGCATACATGTCTGTGCATCACATACATGCCTGGTGCCTGGGATGCAGAAGAGATGGAACTGGAGTCACATAGACAGTTGTGAGCCACCGTGGGAGCTCTGTGACGCAAACCTTGGTCCTCTGGACCTCTGAGTCATCTCTCCAATCATCAGATGAGTGCCTAAGACTAAACGCTCCTGAGGAAATATCATCTGTGTGCTTCAAGACTAACCCACAAAGAGGGATAAAAATCAGGCACAAACAAGCCGGGGGACAGCTAAGGACATTTCAAAAGCTCTCGTACATGGGAATTGGGAACCGGAAAGAGAATAAAGTGAGAAAGGAGGAGAAATATCTGAGGTAAAAATGGTCAAATCTTCTAAAATGTGTAAAAGATACCAAAGATAGATGTGGGTGTCTAATAAGCATACGGACTTGTAAATAACAAAGACTCTACACAGTTGTATCGCATTCAAACTGCAGAAAACCCAGAACAAAGAGAAATCTTAAAGGAAGCCAAAGGTGGGGGTGGGGTGGGGTGAGGGATTGAACTGTAGAGTAACAGGAAGAAGCACAGTGAACTATTTTCTCCTAAGCCTGGAGATCCGGAAGAGAGTGGGGGGTACACAGAGCTCAAAGAGAGAAACGGGCCCACCTAGAAGCCTATGTCCTGCAAACCACCTTTCAAGGGTAAGAGAGAAGCTGTAACCTCAGGCCCAGTGGGTAAAGGCATATACTGCCAAGCTTGAGGACCTGAGTTCAGTCCCTGAGACCTGCATGTTAGAAGATGTGAACTGATTCCTGCAAGTTACCTTCTGAGCTCCATACCTGTACCATGGCACCCTGCCCAACACTAATTGAAGAAATGTAAAAAAAAAAAAAAAAAAAAAAAAAAATTAAACTTTTAATTTAAAAAAAATCTCTTTAACTGATAATGAGTAAGAAACTTCCATGACTGGCCCTGACTAAAATAATTTTATTTAAAAAAATGTTAAAAATGCCTGTGTGTGTGACTGTGTCTGCATATGAGTACCCTCAGAGCCCAGAAGAGGGGATCATATCCACTGGAGCTCGAGTTACAGGAGGTTGTGAGCCATCCAACATGATTGTTAGGAATTGAACTCCAGCCCTCCAGCTCCTGCAAGAGGAGAAGCATTCTTAATCACTGATCCGTCTCCCCAGGCAGCTTGTTTTGTCTTTTGAGCAGGGAATTGGGTAGAGGTGAGGCCATGCCACCACTGTCCCACTCTAGCCCAGCCCATGGTTTTAGGGCTGTATGAGGTCCTCAGGGTCCAGGAACACTGCTGATGGATCCATGGGCCCAGTGGGCACGATCAGCTGCCAGAGGCAGGGCAGGTAGGCCAGCAAATCTGCACCCAAATGCCTCTCTGACTAGAATTCTGTGTGGGCAGCTTCTACAGACCAGCCACTAACAGGCTGGAAGGCTCCTTCTCCAGGAATCTGTCCATTCCTTTGTCAGTCCTTCCTCAGGTCAGGCCTCCTCTGACCACCTTAAGCCAGAGGCTGTGGGGCATGAAAGGAGTCAGCACTGGGATTTGGGGCTGGGTTGACAGTTATCCCACTACTCTGGACCTGTGGGATGTGGAGCCAGAAGGGAGCTCAAGGCTTTTTATAAACATTTCACGTGTATGAAAAATTACCAAGATCAGAGGAAGGAACTCCCAAGAACATACTCCAGACTTGACCAATGGCAGTATTCAATCACATTCCCTTCAGATGCCTGAATTAAACAAAAAAAAATAAATAAACAAACACCACTTGAGGATCTATGTACCACACTGTGAAATGTGATGTATTTTAGTATTTGAGAGCACTGTGGAATTGGAGAGATGGCTTGTGGTTAAGAGCACTAAATATTTTAGCGGAGGACCTCAGTTTGGTTCCTGGCATCCACAATGGTCCCCTCACAACTGCCTCTAACTCCAGTTCCAGGAGATCCAATACCCTCTTCTGACCTCTCCGGTCACCGGGCACACACATGGTGCACAGACACATATGCAATCACATGCTCATATGCATAAAAATAAATAATGAGCTGGGTATGGTGGCAAAATGCCTTTAATCCCAGTACTCAGAAGGCTGAGGCCAGTGCATTTCTGTGAGCTCAAGGCCGGCCTGATCTACATAGTGAGACCCTGTCACAAAACAACAAAAGCAATCTTTAGAAAAAGGATGTTTAGGGCCTGGTGTGAGGGCTCACACCTTTAATCCCAGCTCTAAGGAGGCAGAGGCAGGAGGATCTCTGAATTCGAGGCCAGCTTGGTCTACATAGCAAGCTCCAAGACAGCCAAGACTACATAAAGAGGCCCTGTCTCAAAAACATATTTGGAGGGTTGGGGATTTAGCTCAGTGGTAGAGCGCTTGCCTAGCAAGCGCAAGGCCCTGGGTTCAATCCTCAGCTCAAAAATATATATATATATTTGGAGGGGAATTTATATGTGTGTGTATGCATGTATGTATGTGTATATATATATATGGGGAAAATTATATATATATGGGGGAACACTAAGTGGCCACTAAAATGTCCCAGAAGTAAAGGCACTTGTCAACAAGCCTAACAATCTGAGTAGTCTCCCCAAGACTCATATAGTGGAAGGAGAGAACTGTCTCCTGCAAGGTGTCCTGCTATCTACACACACACACACACACACACACACACACACACACACACACACATTGTAATAAAAAAATGATTTTTATTTATTTATTTATTTATTTTTGTTATTTGTTTTTCGAGACAGGGTTTTTCTGTGTAGCCCTGGCTGTCCTGGAAAACTCACTTTGTAGCCCAGGCTGGCCTCAAGCTTACAGAGATCCGTCTGCCTCTGCCTTCTGAGTGCTGGGATTAAAGGTGTGCACCACCATGCCCATCTTAATAGAAAAAAAAGAAATTGTTTCTCAATTTTAGGCATATGGTGTTTCTTCTTGCAGGTGCATCTGTACAGTCTTCATTTGCCTGGTGTCCAGGGATGCCAGAAGACTGAGGTTACAGTTGTGAACTGTCATGTAGGTGCTGGGAATTGAACCCCAGTCTTTTGCAATAG